GGAAACCACAACACATCAACATCACTTCCACATACACCAGAAACCACAATTGAGTATCAGCATTACTTTCATATGCCTGGGAAAGACAATATTGGATCATGAACAACACTTCCACATGTACCTGGCAACCACAACCTGCGAGTGTCAACATTAGTCAATATCATTTCCATATGAACCGGGAAACCAGAACATTCTTGGTGACTTGCTGTGTCTCGGTATGGGCTGTATTATGGTGGTTGTTGGCCTCTGCCTCCCAGCTAATGAGTGCAGACTCATCTGTGATGTGGTGTGTTAATATGGGGAACCCCACCACGGAATTTGGGGGACCCCTTTCTTTTTCGGCTTTCCCTTCCTGAAGCCATGAGTGGACACAGAGGTGGAGCCGTTGGGATGTCCCTCTGGGAACACAGCCTTCCCGTTCTCCCACCCCCAAGCCACCTAGGCCCAGCACCCCCCCATCACGGACTCTCGGGGCCGGGACAGCAGCAGGCAGTCATTAAAGAGGTGCAAGTGGACAGGACGTGTGGTCAGCTTCCTCCGCAGTCCTGGGGTCATGCTGAACTCCAGGGCTGTGAGCTCCCCGCTCTTCACCAGCCAACGGGACTGCGAGATGAGCGGGAATATCTATGGGTAGGGAGACAAAAGGTCTGTTTACTGGGGCCCCATCCTTCTCACTGCACCATGAATCCCAGGCTGACCATCTGGCCGTCCACATCCTCTCTCCTGTTCTTCCCCAACTCTACTCTTTGCTGACCCTTTCCTTGCAACTGTCCTCCGTGTGTGTTCTCCACAGCCAAGAAAATGGGAGGTATCTGTGGTCCATCCGTGATGGTGGGTCCCTGAACAAGCTTGGCCCACGAGCCCCCCGAGGAGCAAGGGAATGGGAAGGGACCAGTGTGACATGTTTCTTAGAAGTTAAAGGGTAAGGGGACATTAAACAAGTGCGGCATGTGAGTTCAGATGTAGGTGAGGGCATGGAGAACCAGGCAGGATCAGATGGAAAGCATGAGTTTGGGTAAAGAGGAGCAATTGTCACAGTGCAGTCTAGATGTGTGTTTGGGTAGGAGGCTTTAGCTCTGGATTTGGATTCAATGTTACGTTATTTGTTTGACTAGCAAAACACTGGAATGGTTCCAAAATCAACAAGATTTTTTAGCAAAGGCACTGAAAAGATCTCCTTCTGTCCCGGGTGGGTGGGGTCTCAGGATGGGTGGCCACAGGGCGCTGAGTGGCTCTCCGGACAGGGACCACTCACTCTGCACTCAAATTCAATCTTCTGGCTCAGGTAGATGAGCTCCTCAGTGCGCCGCATCCTCTGCACGTTACTGTTACAGTCCCGGATCAGCTGAGCATGGAAGGAGGCAGAGGAGAGCACCTTAGGGCCTTGGACTTGCTCCCAAGCCCGGGAAAGGGGGTGTGACCCACGCACCAGGAGAGAGTGGACGAGTAACAAGGGCTTTGGTATGCTTGGCTTGACCTGATGGGATGTTCTGGGCTCAGTGGAAATGAGATTGAATCTGGGGGCTTCAGGCATGAGAGTACAGTGCCTGGTGTGAGGAGAGACTGTGAGTGAGCAGTGGGAGGCCTGGGGTGTGTGTGTGTGTGGTTCTTGTTCTCTCAGGAGAAGCTGCCCACAGAGTACGGTCCTAGGGCCAGAGTGGACACTGGTTGCTTACCTCTTCCAGGGCGTGGTGTGCCTTCGTGGCCTCTGCCTCCTCCGAGGAGCCGGGCTGTGTTCTCTTCAGAATGTTCTACAGGACAGTGGACAGAGCCGATGGTAAGGGGAGGACAGGAGAGGTGGCGGCGTGGGTCACGGGCACACCCATATGGCACAGAGCAGTGATGCAGAAATTGGTGTTCTTTGCTAGGGTACCAGAGTGGGAAGCTGGGGTTTCCAAGGCCTCCCTCTGGGCAGGGGGTGGGACTGTGAGGTGTGAGGGTGCATGGCACCCTAGGGAGAAGGTTGTGGGTGGCACGTGGGCTGGTACCTGCAGCAGCAGCTTGAGGCGGGTGATCCGCTGGAAGGGCAGGATCAGGAAAGACTTGAGGGACAGCCGCTGGCAAACGGGATCACTCTCCAGCTTGTCCAGGACCTCCCGGAAGTGGCTGTTGCCATTCCTGTGGGAGTAGGGTACTTTAGGGGGGCAAGGGGACACAGCTCCATGGAGGTCCCTGAGTGGCGGATCAGCTGAGCATGGAAGGTGAGACTGGGGGGAGCTGGCTTCCAGGGACCTTGGCATGACCGCCTAGGGATCTGACATGAGGTAGACCTGAGGTCCCATTAGGCACAAGAGCACATGCTCTGGGACCACCCTCTGGGTGAGTGGGACAGGCTCACAGCAGGCTCTGGAAGGTGCGCTCCTGGTAGGTCTGGTTGGTGACGTAGGGCAGGTAGACCCGGCGGAAGTGGGGGGTATGGTTCAGGACGACGTCGCACACATGGAAGGTGAAGATGTTGTTCTCGAAGTTCTCCTCCAGGTCAGACAGGAACCTTCAGGGGAGACCAGAGGGTCAGGAGGCAAACCACATAAAGCCAGGCTGGCTTTGGCCCCTCCCCCAGCACCACGCCCAGCGCCACGCCCAGCGCCACGCCCTGCTATTCCCAGGAGTTCGGGCCCCAGGCTACGGTACTCATCCATTCTGTAACTCCATTGCCCTTGATCTGATGGGGGTTTGTACCTTCAGACTCTTCTACTGTTCACCCCCATCCAGTGCATGTCCACAGATGCAGACCCAACCCTCATCCCCGAGGCAGTGAGCATCCACAGGTCCAAACCTAATCCCCGAGGCACTGTGTACACACAGACCCAACTCGCATTCCTGAGGCCGTGAGCACCCACAGGTCCAAACCTAATCCTGATGCAATAAGCACCCACAGGTCCAAGACCCCTTTGGGAGCTGCCTCACCTACGGGTTTGTCCACCAAGGGGCCTGCCCACCAAGCCCCTCCTCTCTACTCTTCCTACAGCACAGAGTTGGGTCTGCTGGGAGAGGTCCAGCCTCCCTCTACCAGAGTGAGGGGTCTGCAGACACAGCAGGGGAGATGGAAGCAGTGAGGCTAGGAAGAGAGCGGTGCTGACCATTGCTTTGTGTCCCCACAAGAAGTGTTGGAATGCCAACCTCTACCCGTGGACGTGAGCCCCTTTGGGAATAAGGTTCTGGTTGTTACACTAATGAGGCCCTATGTGTGTTTGCTGTATCCTCATTGTAATGAGTTCTGAGATTGGAAAGGAGCTGATCAGACACACAGAAGCAAGCACTAACAGGGAAGGCAGATGCCAAATGAGACCAAGGGACGCAGGAACTCTGGGTCAGAGCCCAGAGACGCAGACTTAGACTTCCTTTAGAACCAGCATCTTGGTTTAGCCCTCCAACCTCGTGAACTTGAATAAAATAAAGGCAGCGTCTGTAAAGCCAGCCCTTCCTGCAGCCCAGGAGAAGACGGTGGGGGTTGGGGTGGGGGTGGGCTCACGTGGTGCTGACGTCTCTCACGTCCTGCAGACGGGAGAAGAGCCACTGATGCTCCTGATTGGACAGTGTGGCCCGGAGCTGGGTGGACAGCTGGAAGTGATCCACGGCCACGTGCAGGCTGCGCAGGTACGAGGCCTCGGAGACAATCAGCTCAAACTTGGCCTAGGAGGACGTGGAGGAGGAAGATGTTATACACCAGGCATGGTGCCACATCTAGGGGAGAGTGGAGAAGCATACAGACCCTCCTACGGTTCAACCACACTTAATGAAAGGGAAAGGGTAAGGGAAGGGGGATACACTCCAAACACTGAGATACAGCCTAAGAGGAAGGTGGAGAAGCAGAGGAATCATGGCGGCATGGAATCTATGGGGAATTTAGAGGAAAGCAAATGGGAAGACCACACAAGGTCTTTCCTTGAGGGAAGGATGTGATTTCATCAGGTATTTCAGAGTGCATGGTGGAGACAGAGTAAGAGGAACAAGAGCGACAATTAGGGACGTACAGTAGTGATTCCAGATGACTCAGGAAGGTCTGCGCCACCCGGGAACAGAGAGTAGAGGGCATAGTCATGGAGAAGGTGGTCTGAAGGGACTTGACCATCAGCTAGAAATGGCGGAGAGAGGAAGAAGATGCAATTTACAAGAGAATGTTGTTGTTGTTATGTGCCGTGGAGTTGGTTCCGACCCTGCACAGGGTTTCTGAGGCTGTAAATGTTTACGGGAGCAGAAAGCCTCATCTTTCTCCAGCAAAGCGGCTGGTAGTTTCGAACTGCTGATCCTGAGGATAGCAGCCCGATTCATAACCACTACACTACCAGAGCTCCTTATAGGAGAATGGGGCTACTCAAAACCAAGAAAGCAGAGTTGTCGTCCCAGTAGGGCCTGAAAGGTGGAGCTGAAGCCTGGGGCCAAATGACCTCTGCCCAGAATCCAGAGAACACAGCCAACACCCAGAGTCTGTACAGCAGAGCCACTGTTTACATGGTCTCAGAGAACAGAGGATGGTTATCAAGGCTTGAGAGCTAGTGTGGATGGTTCTGCTGGTTCTGGACTTGCTTGGTGCCTGTTGTCCCTTCTTCCCCCACTCCCAATGGCTCCCCTTAATAACAGCAACATCTACCTGTGGTCACTCCACAACTGTACCCTGGAAGCAGATTACTTGTATTCTAGATGTCACAGGTTCACAAAGGAAAAGCAACTTTGCCCCAGGATGGAATTTGGACAGGGTGTGGATTAAAGACTTTGGGGATGATGTGACGTAGTGAATGTGTTTGGCATATGTGGGAAGGACGTGAATCTGTGGGGTGTGGACAAAGAGTGGAATGTTATGGACTGAAGTGTGTCCCCCTAAAATATGTGTTGTAACTCCTCACCTCTATGCCTGAGGCTATCACTCCACTTGGGAATGAATTGTCTCTGTTTTGTTAATGACACTGGATTAGTGCAGCATGCTCTTGAGTGAGGCTCTTTTGACACAGAAGAGATTAGACAAGCAAGCTGAAAGAAGCAGGAGAACCGAGGGAAGAGAGCTGCCCAGCCGCACAGAGATCCTCGGGAGCAGAAGGTCAAAGAGACAAGGCCCTTCGTCCACAGCCAAGGCACAGAGGGAGAGAAGGCCTTCCCCTGAGTCTGCACCATGGATTCAGACCTCTCACCTTCTAAACTGTAAGGCAGTATAAGTCTGTTTGTTAAAGCTACCACTTTGGTGTCTCTGTTACAGCAGCATGGGATTAGTAACGAAGACACAAGGTGTGTGCTATTTCATTCAAACCATAATCCTGAAAGAGAAGCATCCATGCTCCCAGTCTGTAGATGAGTAAATTTAGAGGTGATGCAATTACAGACCTTGTTTAAGGCTAGGCAGCTACTAAGTGGTGAAACCAGGATGCAAACCCAGGTCTACCTCGCTTCAAATGAACACAGCAAACAGTTGTTGAGCCGTGATTATATCCCATGATTATATATTATTTATCCAAAAATTTACCGGTTTTTGATTCTGTCAGTAATCCTTTGTATCCCAGTTTTATAGGTGAAGACATGAAGGCTTAGAATCATTTAGCAATTTGGTCAAAGCTACAAACTAGTAACCATTCACACAAGCTTCCCACCTAGGGCGCTGACTCCAGAAATGAGATACATAAAAACAACTCTGTCATGCCTTTCCATTGCGCCACATTGCCTTCCCGGGAAGGGAGGCTCTACCCCATACTTCAGATGACGATGAAGAGAAGTGCTCCACGCAAACCCAATCAAGGTAATAACTCAAAACCAGACAAACAGCTTCCACTGTGGTCCTGCTGCTGGGAGAGAGGCGTGGCCAGGACATGTCTCCTGGGTGTTCTCAGGTGTCCAGGAGACCAAACCAGCACAGGGCAGTGGCATCCCACGCATCGGAGGGAAAACCTGAGTGAACCTGAACCTGCCTGAACAGCCAGGGTAGGTAGATTCCACCCAACAATATTCAGAGACTGGGTCACACTGCATGATGCCCAACTGTGAGACGAGAACTGGGTCTCCAAGAAGTCCTAGCCCCTGGTACCCACGAACATGACCTTGTTTGTAAATGGGGTCCGTTAACATGTGGTCACAGTGGAGGGGATCCTATCTGACTGATAACCTTATAAGACAGGAGAAAAAGCACACAAAGAAACACAGATGGCTGTGGTCAGGTGAAGATGCAGCTACAAGCCAAGGACACCAGGGCCCCAGACTCTGGGTGAAGCCAGGGGGAATCTTCACTAGTGACCCTGGAGGCACTTGAGATTCCAAATTCAAGTCTTTAGATGGAGTCTCGAGCGGTACAGATGATTACACATTGGGTTATTAGTAACCGAAAGGTTGGGGTTTCAAGCCCACTTAGAGGTGCCTCGAAATCAAAGCCACCAAAGGTAAATACTATTAAACGATCCTGCAATTACAATAATAACAACAATCTATAAATGGATACATAGACAGACATGCAAGCTAAACAGGTGTGGGAAGATGATGGGACCGCCCCATAAGTACATTACATAGGCTGTTGCTGTGGAGTGCTGTCCTGTAGGGGGTTTCTGAGGAGCGGCTGGTGAGTATGAACCGCCAACCTTGCAGTCAGGCGCTTACCCTGCAGCACTACACCAGAGCCGCATGCAAAGGTTAGACCAAATTTTGTATGTGTTGCAAATGTGTACTTACAGGGAGCCAAGTTAGGAAAACTTGGTGGTGGTGGTGGTAAGTGCTGTGGGTTTGATTTCGACTCACAGCGACCCTGTATAGGGTTTGTGAGGAGCAGTTGGTGAGCCTGAACCACTAACCTTCCACCTCAACCAGACCTTGCAGTCTAGTGCATTCGCCCACAGCCACAAGGAATGAGTCACTGGGCTCGGGGACTCAGCACTGTAGTCTTGGGGGACATTAAGGTTAGCTGGTGTAACAGAATCGACAAAGACAGTGTTCTATATCCCACTGTGGTGAGTGAGGCCTGGGATCTTAAAGGCTGTGGGCAGCCATCTGTAACGTCCAACTACTGGTCTCTCCCTGTCCAGAGCAGAGAAGAGTGAAGAAAATCAAAGATGTAAGGAAACAAAAGACCAGAGTCTGAAAAACACTGGCAGAACCCCAAGGGAACGTCCTTCGTCACCCTTCAAGTCTGGTACCCAATTCACTTAGTGGCTCAACTCAGTCCAACCACCGTTGCTGTGAAATGCTATGGAGTCGGTTCCAACTCATAGCAACTGTATAGGGTTTCTGAGGAGCGTCTGAACCATCAACTTTGCAGTTCAAATGGACCCTGCGATCACATGCTTATCCAACATTATCACCCCAGGGCTCCTGAGCCCAATGAAAAAGTCAACAGTTCCACATTAGAACAACCAACCATATGAGATCAAAAGGGCGGGGTCTTCCCAGGGATATAACTCAGAAGGCAGGCAAAGTCAGAAAAGAAGAAGGGATGGAGACAGGAAACAGAGGAAGTGGGAAGGGCGTGGTTACATTGTGGGGATTGTAATCAATGTCCCAACACAAAGTGTGCATGAATTGGTGAATGAAAAACCGACATGCTCCATTGTTGTTGTTGTTAAGTGCCGTGGAGTCGGTTCCGACTCATAGTGACCTTGCACAGGGTTTCCGAGGCTGTAAATCTTTACGGGAGCAGGGTGCCTCATCTTTCTCCCGCGGGACCGCTGGTAGTTTCAAACTGCTGACCTTGCGGTTCACAGCCCGATTTGTAACCACTACATGCTCCATTAAGTTTGCCCAAATCACAATACCAAGTTAGCAACAACGAAGACACTGTGGAGTTCAGCTCCGCCCCGACACAATGTTGCCGGGAGTCACTAGACAGCAACTGACAAGCTTAGCCTCCACAGGTGGGAGACAGGAAAGTTCCCGTTCTCATCAAATGCCCACTGGCGCATTTTGTTATTAGACAGGCAGCCCTCGGAGACTCCCTCTAACAAAGTACACAACTGGCCGGTGGCAGGAGGGGCGGTGTTCTGTGTGAGTGTCAGTGTGGGCAGTGTGTGGCACAGCCCCTGTCCCCGCCCCGTCCTGGTACCTCCTGCAGCTTCTGGTCCGCATGGGTCATGGACAGCAGAACCGTGCTGTTGCGCACCACCGGGATCTCCTGCCACAGCGAGCTGCTAGAGGTTGAGGAGAGGCGCTGCACGTAGGACTCCGAGGACACGAAGGCCTTGCGGCGCTGCCGGGGGGACGCAGGCCCGGGGGTCTCGGCCAGGCTGTCCAGTCGCTGCTGGCTCTGGATCTCTTTGTTGAGGAAGACATCACTGTACTCCTGATAGAGCAGCTGGGCTGAGGTGCCAGGGGAGAGGGGGACCGTGAGGACCACAGAGCAAGCCAGTCTCGCCCCCCACTCTGTACTGCCTGGGCCCCTCCAGTTGGAGGCCAGGCCTGTGGGACTCACAGGAATTGATGAGTTTGGAGCAGCGTCTAGTGAAGCCGCTTGACTCCTTTGGCTTCTTCTCCCTGTGGTAGGAAGAAGGATTCTGGGTGTTGGCCCCCATGGGACAGCTCTGGACCCCTGCGCGGCATCAGTGACGCCCAATTTGGGGCTGCTGTTGACCCTTGGGGCTGAGTCCAGGGCCAATGGGCGGGCACAGAGGGCAGGGGCCTGGGCTTAGTGGGCAGAACCAGAGTGGTCAGGGGCCTCCTAGCCTGGAGCCCAGGCTGGGCGCCTGCTCCTTCCCACCCAGGGGAGACAGCCACGGGCCTGTCAGTGTTAGATCCCTGCTAGCTTGGTGAAGACTCTGTGTGTTCAATGGGAGCGGCCAACTCACCGGAAAACGATGGCGTCTGAGGGGCCAGGGAAGTGTTCCATGGCTGGACCTCTGGTATCTGAAAACAGAAATAGGGCATTCAGAGAATCGAAGAAGGGGCTGGGGAGGTGGGCTTCTGAGGGGGAGGGATCATTAGAGGGGGCGGGGCCTTGGCGGGGTGGGGCCTCCCAGGGGGAGGGAACCCGGAGGGGAGGGGCCAGAATGGGCAGGGCAGTACCCCAGGGCTGCCACGATGCCGTCCTGTCAGAAGAGTGGTGGACAAGTGCTGCCCAGCCGAAGGGAACCGGCAGCTGTTGTACCTGGACGCAGGAGGGTGTCGGAACACCCCCGGGAAGGAGGCACGTAGGGAGGGCCAGAACTGGAGCAGAATGGTGGGTGGGGGGTGGGGATCTAGGGCAGAGGGTGGCGGTGATGTCCTGCTCACCTGAGGTGCCCTCAGGCAGGATGGAGGGCCTGCGCAGGCCCTGCCGGTTCCAGCTCTTGTTCTTGCTGGGCCCCTCCCCGGGGGCTGGTCCTGCGCTGCCGCCCACTGGGGGTCTGCCTGGGTCTCGCCGGTGGGGCCAGCTGGATGCCTTCTCTAAGGGGAGGTGGCCAGGTCTCTCTGGTGGTCTGGTGTGGCCCAGTTCCAATCCCCGTAGGTTGCTGGTCCCCTCCTGGGGGACCATTCTTCTTGAGGGTCCTCGATTGGGGCTTTCTGGCTCCTCTACAAGCCAGGACCCCGTCTCTGCGGACCACTCAGCGGTGGGGGACAACGGGCTCAGAAGGTTTATTATGTTGCTGAAAGCCATACTGGGGGTCATCTCATTCCTACCCCTGCTGGTGGGCGCCAAGGGGTCAGCAGACTGGCCGGTAGCTGGAGGCCAGGAGGTGCGGCCAGCAGAAGGGGTCAAGGGAGCTGCCCAATCCTGAGCCCCAGACCTGGCTCGGCCCCCGGTGCTCATGAGTGGCCCCTGAGTGCTTCGGCTCCTGCTTCTAAGCTTGGGGGGCAGAGGGGGTGGCTCGGTGGCTGGGTCCAGGGTGGGGAGAGGGGGCAGTGGCTTATAGGTCCTGAGGCTTCTAAAAGTGCTGCCGGAAGTCCCGGACTGTGGAGCATCGGGGGGCGTAGGGGGCAAAGGCTTGTTGTATCTCTGCCTCGGGGGCAGAGAGGTCTGTGCAGGAGGTGGGGAATCCGGTGTGGAGGGCAGAGGCCAGAGCTGCCTTGCTACCAGATGGTGGTCAGCGGAGTCCTTGAGGGGTCCGTGGGACCCTGGATCAAAGGCCAGGGTGGGTGGGTGGCTGTATCGCTGCAGCGTGGGTGCCCGAACGCGCCTCATGTGCAGTGGAGGTGGGGGCTTTGGGGCCCTCCCATCTACAGAGACCAGGGGTGGGTTCGCAGTAGGGGACCAGCTGTGCCGGGAGGAGGGTAGCCCTGGACCCTGCCTCGTCGGGGGTGATGCTGCTGTGGGCTCCAGGGGGATGTTGTTATCCCTTCCACCCCTTCGGTCCCGCCTTGGGGTCACAGAGCCATAGATGGCAGGTTTGGGGGGTCTCTGGGGTAGCTCGGAGTGAGAAAAAGAAAGGGATCTAACTACCAGGTCTGGCGGGAGCTCGGTCCGGTGGGGACCAGGAAAGGAGTTGCTTCTGGGGTGCAGGGCCGTCCCTGAAGGGCTGGCAGGGGGGCTGTGTGTGGGGGACCCTGTGGGGGTCTCAGGAGCCCTACAGAGAAAGGCTTTGGAATCTTCTGGTGACCCTGCAGCAGGAAGGGCCTTTCCCCCAGAGCCAGTGGGCAGTGTCCATGGGGAGGTGGAGCCCTCCTTAGCCTCCGTCCCCTGCTTAGGCTCCTCCTGCTGGCCTTCCTGAGATGTTTCTTCTTCAGGGAAGGGGCAGGGTAGGGACATGGGTAGATGGGTCTGTCCTGGCTCCAAGGAAGGGCTCAGAGCTGGAGGGGACACGTCCCTTAGCCAGGGGTCTGTCTGAGTCCTGGGAGCCCTTGTTTGGGGACAAGCCATCTCAGGGAACAGGCCACAGGGAGGAGAGGTGCCTAGGGCCACAGGAGCCAGACAGGTGACACCGCTTTGCTGGGCCTGCTCTTCCTCAGCCTTCAGCCCACCCTCAGTTTGGCCCCCAGCCTCCTCCTCCCACCCCTCCACTGGAATCACCTCCCCACCCAAACTCTGGTTTTGCTGCTTCCCAGGTACCCCCTCCGGCTTCTCGGGCTGAGTGTCCACCCCCTCCTCCTCTGACTCCAGTGACACCCGTTCCTCTCCAGGACCCTCAAGCCTTGGACTCTGGGGTCTCCATGGGCCATGAATCAGGCCTCCCAGCTCCCTAATGCCTAAGCCCTCCTGCCTCTCCTCCCCACCTTTCCCATTAACCTGCTTCTCCATTGGCTCCGGTACTCCCTGAACCCCCACTTCTAGCTGTCCCTGCGTCTCCCACCCCACTTGCTCACACCTCCCCTGTGTCTTCTCCAGGAGCAGTGGGGTCCCTGCAGGGTGCTCCCCCCAGGGTGGCCCGGAGCTGCTGGGAGCAGGGCTTCCTGGGGAAGCCTCCGTCTGGTCAGCACCCCCTGCCAACAGTTCCCTGGGAACAGACACCATGTCCAGACTGTCCCCCGGGTCCCAGAGTTCCGGGTGAGTAGGCCTCCTGGCCTGGCTGTTGGCTGCCCAGGATTCAGGAGCAGCTGTCTCCTCACTTGCAGCCTCTTCCTTGGGGGATGGGGACACCCTTTCCGTTGAGAGGTCACTCACATCCCTTAACTCTCCCCACAGGGTATCCGAGGGTCTGCAGCCCTCTACCCCCTCGCAGGTAGGGCTCTCCGTAGCTCTGGGTTCCAGGGTAGGGGTCCGGCTGCCCCTCAGCAAAGCCTCAGAGGTCTCGCCCAACTCCAAGATGGTGGGGGTGGGGGTCAAGGCTCTGTGCGGGGGCTCCGAGGCCTCCATCAGTCTGGATCCTGGGTCTCTTTCCGCCGGTGCCTGTCAGAGAGAGGCCAGGGAGAACAGGGGTGGGTCACTTCCTCCGTCCCACTGAGGGCCATTCCTGGAGACAAAAGACACTGGACACTGTCAGGGACAGCCTCGATCACTTCACAAATATTTACCCAGTGCTGGGTGTGCAGTAGTTCATGAGACAGACAAGCAGACAGACAAGCAGACAGATGGCGCACGGGCCTTCCAGCCTTGGTGGGGGAGACAGACACCAAACAACGAAATCAGAGGATGAAACCGTTGTCATAGCGGACCACAAGCTCCCTTTAATTGTGGGCTGGCTTATTCTGTTTCTCCTGGCCAGTCCCCGAATCCAAGGGTGACTCAGCTCCTATCATCTCCTGACCCCTCGAGGGCCTACCGTGAATCTGACAAGCAGAGCCACAGGGCCTGAAGAGGACCGTCTGTGTTATTCCTCCTCACAATCTCCTATTTACATCTCTGCACGTCCCACAGTCTCTAGCAGAGACTAGCTATTCATTCATTAATGAGTTTGCTTCCATGTTAGAGGCTGTCACGGTGACATGCACCACAGTAGGAATGGTTGTCAGAAACCCTGGTGGTGGCACCCACCCAGCTACACCCGGGACCTGCTCCCGTGAAGATAACAGCCTAGGAAACCCTGTGAGGCAGTTCTCCTCTGTCACATGGGGTCTTGATGAGTCAGGATTGACTCAAGGGTACCTAACAACACTCAAACCAGGTGGCTCCACGATCAAGCGCTTGGCTGCTACCCGAAAAGTGGAGGTGGTTTGAGCACCCCCAGAAGCTCCACAGTAACATGTTGTGGTCTGCCCCTGCAAAGATGACCACCTAGGAAACCCCACGGGGCAGCTCTACTTTGTCACGTGGGGTTTCGAAGTCGGAATCAACCGGAGGGAACACAATGCCCAATGACCATTACCAGCTCTAACTAGGTCCTCACAGCTGTGCTCTGTCCACGTCTTCCACTCCCTGCCCCACAACAATCTTCCAGTCTCCAGCCTTCCAATCTTCTCACCCCCTGCTTCACAAATCTGTTTCTAGGTCTTGTAGCTAGAACTGCAGAGTGGCCGGCATTGCTTTCCAGCGTCTCCATCTCCCTTCCTTGGAGAGTACAAAGAGTTTCCAAGCACCATCTTGAATCACAGTCCTTCAGGGACCTTCCGTGTTCCCTCTCGGCTGAAATCGCTCCACTGGGATTTCAACATTCTCACATCCTCTTCCTTCAAACTTCTAACAGGAGCTCTTCAGACCTAGTATCTAAAGATTCCTCTCCAACCTGGCCCCGGTAAGGACCACTAGGCTATCATCCACTACCTCTTCATGATGTCAATTCCAAAGGAGGTTCTAGGATCCTTGTTTCAAATGTTTCTAGATGGGAGTCCTGGTGTGGCACTGTGGGTTAGGGTGCTGGACTGTAAGGTCATTTTGAACCACAAGGACAGAGGTTCAAGCTCACCAGCTGCTACTTGGAAACCTTATACAGGGTCACTATGAGTTGGAACCGATTCAACAGTACTTACTAGACAATGTTCACCACTACTGGTGTGGCATTGTGGGTTAATGCGTCAGACTGCAAAGTTGTTTGAACTGTAAGGTTGGCGGTTCAAGCTCACCAGCCGACTTGACGGCACATAACAATTAATGCTAGAAATACTTTCTTGTATTGTATATGTGTGTGTGAGTACATCTTCCTAGTGAAGCTCCCTTAAATTGTCCCCAACTTTTAAACTGGGTTAAACTGAACTTTATTGTGCTTTGTTACTTGTTTTCAGTGCCGTGGACTTGGTTCCAACTCATAGTGACCCTGTAGAGGGTTTTCAAGAAGCATCTGGTGGGTTTGAACTGCTGATCTTGTGGTTCACAGTCCAGTATTGATCCACAGCGCTATACCATGAGTCTTTGCTACACTTATGCGATGATAATTACAGAACTGTATTCATCTTTTGACCTAGCACCTGTTACGGATGGAATGGAGGTTGCTGCAGGGTACAGGCATTCTGCACTTGTCTACCAGCTTAGTGGGTTTTGCATTGGTCAGCTAACCACAAGGTCAGTGGTTCAAGTCCACAAGCCACTCCACAGGAGAAAGATGAGGCTTTGTGCTCCTGTAAAGATTTGCAGTGTTGGAAACTCTGTACACAATTGGCGTGGATTCCAGAGCACACAGCTGCTGCTGCACTAATCTAAAGACTGAAGGTTTGAATCTACCAGCAGCCCCATGGGAGAAAGACCTGGATAGCTTGTTTCTGTAAAGGTTGTAGCCAAGAAAGCCCTGTGGAGCAGGTCTACTCTGCCCCACACGTGGGGTGACTAGGAGTTGGAATTAGCTTGACAGCAAGAGACTTACAGGATGGATTGTGTCCTCCAAGAAGACCTGTGAAATCTCAGCTCCACCATCTGTGAAGGTGGCCTCGTCTGGCCATAAGGAAGCTGTCTTTGGGGATACTGTCTGATCCGTAAGACTGGAGTGAGGACGGGGCTAGGGACAACAGAGTCAGACATAGAGGGTCTGTCTATAAACCACAGAATGTCTGGGGCCACCCGAGGCAGACAGAGACAAGGAAGGGTCTCTCCTTAGAGCCCGACCCAGTGAGTACGTACGACCTGGCAGACACCCAAATTTGGACTCCCAGCCCCCACAGCTAGGAGGCAGTAAGTGTCGGTTCTCAGGCACCCTCTTTGGGGCATTTTATGATGGCAGCCCCAGGACATGAAGACATCACCTTTATCAACCAACAGATGGTGTGCTTTCTGAGACCAAGAACCCCACCTCGTGTACCACTCCAACCCAGCCCCACACCTGGCCCATGCTATGTACTGTCCACAGCTTTCAGACTGAAATTCCTGTTTTCTTCCTTGCCCACAGCCCTCAGATCTATCAACCAAGTCCATCCGTGGCCCCTAACTGTCCCTCCTGTAAAGATTTACAGCCTCGGAAACCCTGTTCAGGGTCGCTGTGGGTCAAAACCGACTCGACGACACTTAACAACAACTGTCCCTCGAGTCTGCCCACTTCTGTCCATCTCCACTGAGAGGTCCTGCCCACGCTCCTCTCCCTTGCCCAGGCACTGCTCCTTGGTACACCTGGGCATGGTCTTCTGTGTCTCTTCCTACTCTGGTCCAACTCCCCAACTCCACAGCGCCTGACGGAGTTTCCAATCCACCACTTATAGCTTCGAATACTTTGGTGGTCTCATATAAGTCTGTCCTCCAGGACCCTCGGCACTCATCAGCACCCCGTGTGTCCCCTCTACACCCCACATTTAGTCTCCTCAGTGCCCCTCCCCGTTCAGGACTCCCTTGAACTCTCTTCTCAGCTGCTGCCCAAAGCCTCTCCTTCTCGTTGGCCCTTGTAGCTTCATGCTGCAGCCAGCTTGTATTGAACACCACAGAGCCCAGGTCTGTCCAACCCCTGAGTGGGACAATGTGCCGGCCCTCAGTAAAGATGAAGAGAGAACAAGGCGCTAAGAGATCCAGTTCCAAGTTTTTCCGGATTTTATCATCATGCTAGTTTTAAGGTAACTGTAGAAATAATTAATTAGAGTGTTCACTTTTGTGTCTTTAATGAGGAGATCAAATATTTCCGCCATTGAATTTTGCTGCCACTGTGGGCTGTTGAGTCAGTACCGACTCACAGTGACCCTGAGGGATGTTTCTCAGGCTGTCTGTGGAATTCCAGTGATGTCCGAAGACGGTGACAGAGAGGTCTCTCTGACAACTCACAGGGGCTGTGGGGGTGGGGGGTGGGGGGCGGTGAAACCCACTGCCTGCTGACAGGGTGATTCCCACTCTGCAGGACAGAGCAGCACTCTCACAGAGTTCTACGTGGGCCATGTCGTTCTCCAGTGGAGTAGCCGGTGGCTTCAAACCACTGACCTTTTTTTTTTTAACACTTTCAAAACTTTTATTTATATAAAAAATTCATTTGCTCTTAAAAGCATTAATAAGAGAGAAAGAAACAGAAAAGGTCTGGGGAAAAGTGGGATTTTTTTGGGGTCTCTGGAATTGGATGTTTAGTGTTTTTATAGAGAGAAAACAATGAAAAGGTCCCCAAAAGTCCATGGCAGTTCTATTACCCATACTGCACCGAGAAACAGAGCAGCAAGGAAAAGAGCAGAAGAGGACAAGAGGATCCAAGAGTGAGGCCGACTGGGATGGGCTAAGTCCCCCGTGCAGTGTGCTCTTAGGGTCACAGACAGCAAACGGCTCCTTGTGACAGAAAAGGTGGCTAAGAGTGGGAGATCTGGGGGTGGGGAAGGGAAAGGGACATGCGTGTTTCTCCTACCCCATAGCCTCACTATATAGGTGAAGTGGGGAGAGAAGGATAAAGATGTTCAGTTGATTGAACTTTCAGATTAAGAAGAAGGCAAATAAGAAAACAGGTTGTTTTAAAAAAGAAACAAAATCCCCTCACATAGCAGCTGATTCCTCTAAGCCAACCTGCTAATATAGACTACACCGGGGTAGGGGAAGGTATGTTGGGATGGCACAGTGGAAGAGAGCCAACTTGTCTATAAGCCTTTCAGAGACGATGGTAAATTCTGGGCAAGTGAGGAGCTTGAGTCCCTCCCCTGACTCCTCTCACCAATCTCATTTTAAGATCCATCCGAATGGAATTATTACTGCAAAAGCCCAACTATATTCTGTTGAGCTACACTGGAAATTGTGGCAGAAATTAATTCAAGTGCTTAACCAACTGCAGCACTAAGATTCCTTGTATAGGTGCCCGCTCACTCACTGCTGTGGAGTCGATTCCGACTCATGTATGTAAGTCCCCGGGTAGGACTTCCGAGGTTGCCAATCTTTATGGGAACAGAAAGCCTCATCCTTCTCCAAGGTGTGGCTGGTGGGCTTGAACTGCTGACCTTGAGGCTAGCAGGTCAGTGCTATACCATAGTACCTCCCGACTTCCTTATACAGGGGCTAGGTACAGTTATCGCTGGGAGTGCAGTGGTTCCGTATGATAAGCACTGGACTGGGAACTACTAGGTCCACGGTTCAAACCCACTAATCGCTCTACGGGAGAAAGATGAGACTTCCTGTTCCCGCAAAGATTTAAAAAAGCCGCAAATACCTACACAGGGTTGCTATGAGTTGGAGCTGACTCTAAAGCAGTTAACAACAACAACAACAACAACTACTGATGAGGAAGGGAGAGAGGAAAGTTGTAAGAGAGAGAATTTGAGTTTTGGAGCCACCAGGACCTTCAGAGAATGTTAAAGCTCTGCTCTATTAGCAGAGAGGAAACTGGGAGCAATGAACTGGACACCGGCTCATCCCATAACAAACGGGACAGGTGAGCCCAGGGGACCCTCTGTCTGCTGTATGCCCCAGGCTTTGCAGTAGGAAAGTGGGCTGTGCACAAGCCTGGGGACCCCGGATGGAGCCCACTGAGCTCCTGAACTACACCTGTCTGGCCCAGACTGAAGGTCCACGGTCAGCACACCTACTCCTCTATGTAGTCAACACGCATACACGCACACACACATATGTTCACACACACATGCCAACACACATGTCCCTTATGGATGCACACCCCTACTGGACTACAAGTTTGGCAGTTCAAATTCACCATCCACTCCTTGGAAACCCAATATGAGTCAGAATCGATTCCACGGCACACTACCACCACCAGCACCACCACAAATCGAAACCAATTCGATGGCACTTACTAATAATTCAGAGCACACATACACACATGCATGCACACACACACATGCGTGCACTCACACGCACAAACCCAACACACATCAACATGCACTCACACACACTTACAAACACACATCCTTAAGCAGCACACACACATATGTACACACATATATACACACTCTCAACACACCATCATATACACAAGTGTACACATACACATGCCCCAACACACCAAACATGCACACACATACATACACATATGTATACATACCCACCATACACTAAGTATGGTCTCAGCAATGCTACGGAGCAGTCCACACTGCTATAATCAACACTGACGCCCTGAGAGTGTTGCTGGCTTGCTGACACACATATGCACACACAGACAGATATGTACCTGCCCCCCAAGCACACGTGTATGCCCAACACACACGCACACCACACACACATGCAGTGAACCACCTCTGACTGCTAGGGACCGAATTATATCCCCCAAACTTAGGATGAAGTCCGAAGCCCTGGCGCTGGGAGTGTGACCAGTTAATGTGAGGTCACACAGAGAGCGTCCTGCTCCATCTGAGGGTGTCCTCATAGAAAGGGAAGACACACAGCGGAAAGAGGAAGGGGGCCACGGGAAGATGCAGCTATCGGCCCAGCAACACCTAGGGGCCCCACAAGCCAGGAGAGCTGGGGAGCCTCCCACACAACCCAGTCTCCAAGGCAGTGAGAGAAAGCACGTCTGCTCTTGTGGGACACCCAGGGGAGTCCTGGGGTGGCACTGTCGGATAAGCACTGGACTGCTAACCGAAAGCTTGTTGGTTCAAATCCACCAGTTCCTCGGAAACCGTATACAGGGTTGCTGTGAGTCAGAACCAATTCGACGGCACGTAACAAGAAGAAGCCACCAAGGGCCTTCTAGTGTGGCAATGTAGGATAAACGCAGGACTACAACGTCACTTCAAACCCAACAGCACTTAACAACAAGCCACCCAAGGCAGCCTCAGAAGCTCATACACTGGCATCACTCAACAGCTAAGGACTATGTGCTGAGACCTCCGACAGGAGGCCCAGAGACCATCTAGGTGGCAGGGAGCCTTCCTAGGGAGCTGACTCCCAGCGCAAACTGCAAGGTCCCGGAATAGAATGCACTCCAGACACTGTGAGGGCCCAAGGAGACAGACGTGGTAGCCAGCAGTCTCTCGTCACCCACCTCAGTGTGACTCCGGCCCTCTGCTTCCCACTCAGCACCCCATGCTTTGTCCTCAAAGCACCCGAACTCCAAAATCCAACTCATAGTTGCGTGACAGGGCAGAGTCAAACTGCTCATAGGGTTTCCTTGGCTGGAACTTTTTGGAAACACATCGCCAGGCCTTTCTTCTGCAGCGCCCACATTTTGGGTACTAGTTGAGTGTTTAGTTAAATACACCATCCAGGTGCACGCACTACAAATGTTACCAAATAAGTGAGGCTTTCTGGACCACTGAGCATCAAACCCTGTACCCTCCCACTTCGGGCGGGAGCTCTGCCTGCCAGCAGCAAACAATGTTTGTCCATTTCTAGTAAACGAATTCTGGTAGCGTAGTGGTTACGAATCGGGCTGCGAACCCCAAAGTCAGCAGTTCAAAACTACCAGCCGCTCCGCGGGAGAAAGATGAGGCTTTCTGCTCCCGTAAAGATTTACAGCCTCGGAAACCCTGTACAGGGTCGCTATGGGTCGGAATCGACTCAATGGTGCTTAACAACAACAACAACAGTATCTGCACAGGCATCCTGGCTATGCAGTGGGTTAAGCACTGAAGTGCTAACCAAAAGCTCCATAAATCAATCTCCACAGTCATTCCATAGGAGAAAGATGAGGCTGTCAGCACACACTGAGAGCTACAGCTTTGGAAATCGTGTAGAGCGAATCTCCTGCACCCTATGGGGTGGTTATGAGTCCAAAGCAACTTGAGGGGAGCAGGATTTTTTTGTGGGAATCTCTGCACACGTCACATCACGACTGCCCTGAGGGTGGGGAGGGGGGCTCAGACAAGCAGTGCTCACCCCTCATGGCAGCAGACCTGTGCCCCAATCTGCCCGCAAGGTTTCCATACGTGTCAGTGGTCCATCCACTTCTTCACACAGACCCTGAGGGTGACCTTTTTCTGGTTCTCTAGGGGACGATCTGGCTGACCAGCTCTTGTCTTCCCACTGCACAGATACCATAGGTGACCCACCCATCTCCGCCAGACAGTGCACGTCATCTGTCTGTGTTCACCTCTGTGAGCAGCCCCTGCCAACGTGACCCCTCCAGACCCCATGATGACGTGTCCTGTCTGCCCCACAGGAACCACAATTGACCTCAGGGACCCCGCACAGGCTAGGGGTCCAAAAGACTGGGTGGAGCCTTAGAAACCGGCTAGTTCAGGTACATGCCTTCTCCCAACACCCCACTCCCCATCCTGGCCCCCAAGAGCCCCCTCAGACTGTTCAACCAATGACCAGCATGGGGAGGGCTCACCCCGAGGTCTGTGAAGGAGGCCACTCAGGAGGTCAGCTGTGGGCGGGTCCTTCACGGGAGCTGCGAGGATGGCAGACCTGAGCTGGGGTGGGGAAGCCAGGAAGGAGGAAGCCAGGAAGGACGAGTCAGCCTGCTCACAGCCCCGGACACACCCTCCCTGGATCTGACATCAGTCCTGACCAGAGGTCACTTGTGGGGAGACAGTGGCAAATGTGGGGTTCAGGAGACACGGCTGAGGCCAGGCCTCAGGGCAGGCTGGTGGAGTGGGGAGCCACAAAGGGTGTTTGCCCGCCCCCCCCGGTCCCGCCCCCCACAAACCCCAGGCCTGGGCTCCCCTCCCTGCCCAGCACTGGGCTAACAAGGAGCTTCGTGGCGCTCCCGCCCGTGACCCTCGGGTGGGGGCTTCATTTCTGGGGGGCCACTTGCTGCCAGAGAGGTGTGCGCAAACACACACACACATACACAAGTTCGCAAACACGTACTAGGGGCCCGGCCGCTGAGAAGAGGACGAGGACGCACGTCCCACGGACTTTTCTAGAAGGGGGTTTCGGCCATCCTCCCCAGGGGCTGCCCCGCCTGGCCTCGGTGCGACCCCGGGGGACGGCGAGCACCCAGACAGGCGCCCACTTCCGCGGCAGGCCGGCCGGAAGCGCACTTTTCGGGAGCGCGTTCCCAGGCTCCCTCCCCTTCCTGCCCGGCCCGGGGCTCCCCGCACCCCCAGGCGGCCCGCGTGCCCCGTTTCCGGCCGCCCGGCAGGTGGTCGTGACCGCGCCCCTCGCCCGCGCCCTCACCTGCCGGCCGGCGACCCGCGGCGACCTGCCCGCCGGCCGCTCACATGCCGCCCGCGAGGGTCCGCGCCCGGGAGTCCCGCGCAGGCCCGGCGGCCGCCGAGGGAGGGGCCGGCCGGGAGTTCCAGGTGAGGAGACCTGGGCACACCTTCCCGGGGGAGGGGCAGCCGCGCGGGGCCTCATTGGTGCCGAGGCGGCGGCGTCAGCGCGGGCCGGGCGCGCCCAAGGCCGGGGAGCTGGAGAGCCCGGCAGGAGGCGCAGGGGGGCCAGGGGGCTTGGATACAGAACGGGGGGCAGAGGGGCAGCTGGGTTAAAGGGGTCAGGGGGCTGGGGCTCGATCGAGAGGCAGAAGGGGTCTGGGGATCGCGGGGGGTTGAATGCAGAACAGGGGACAAGTGAGGATCCGGGTCCAGGGGACCGCGAACAGGGGTCCAGGGGGGCTTGAATGCAGGGGGAGGGGCTAAGAGAAGGGACGTGGGCCGAGTCCGAGACTGAGGGAGGCTGGAGGGCAGAGGGCAGGACCACGAAGGTCTCAGGAGTAGGAGGGGGGACGGGGCAAAGCAGGATACCAGGGGACCAGGCAGGGAAGAGGGGACAGATGGGTGGGTGTGGTCTGGGAAGGGGAGAGAGGGAGCCGCTGGAACAGAAAGTTTGGGGTGTATGGGGCGGGGTCAGAGGAGAGCAGCACCCATTGATGTCTTGTAACCATGGGCTTCAGTTTTCTGGGTTCACTTGGGCCCCGGAAAGTTTTGCTCTTTACAGGTGGCTCTGATGCGCAGTATTTTGCTGATGAAAGGAATTTGATACTAACTCAAAAGTTTTAACAGGAGCCATTCTCTGAGATAGCAAGTCATGTGTGGGAGGACTGAGGTTTAAGAAGTACAAAGGCTACCCAGACTTGTAGCACACCTTCGTTACCTTCTGTGAAGGTATGTGCATATTGCCATGGACTAAGGTGCACCTGACCCAAGATGATTATTTTCAGTAACCTCCTATGCATGTGAAAGTTGGACGGTGAATAAGGAAGACTGTAGAAGAATTGCTCATCTGAGTTACCGTGTTGGAGAAGAATATTGAAAATACCAGGGACTCCCAGAAGAACAAACAAATCTGTCTTGGAAGAAGTACGACAAGAATGCTCTTTATAAGTGAGGATGGCCAGACTTCATCTCTCATACTTCAGACATATTATCAGGAGGGACCAGTCCCTGGAGAAGGACTTCATGATTGATAAAGTGGAGGGTCAGAGAAAGAGAGGAAGACCCCAATGAGATGGATTGACACAGTGGCATCAGACTGGGCTCAGATCTCATAACGGTTGGTTGGACATATGGTCATGAGTCAGAAGTGACTCAGCGCCACTTCAAAACAACATTTAGTCATTGTTGTTGTTGAATCAGGTCTGACTCATACTGACCTTATAGAGAGTTTCCAGAGTGCCTTGTGAGTTTGAACCACCGACCTTGCAGTCCAGTGCTGATCCTACGTCTAGTCTTTGTTGTTGCTGTGTGCTGTCGAGTCGATTCGACACACAGCGACCCTGTACTGGGTTTCCAAGGAGCAGTTGGTGAGCTTAAACCACAGGTGGAACTGACTCGATGAAAGCAGGTTGGTTTAATTTTGGTTTCCTCAATGTGTACAAATCCCCGGGTGGTGTGAATGGGGACAATTTTTGACTCCCATCTGAAGGGTTGGTGACTGGTGCCCATTCAGAGGTGCTGCAGAGGAAAGGCCTGGCAATCTGTTTCTAAAGACCGCGTCACTGGAAACCCCGTAGAGCATACCTGGGCCCGTCATGAGTAATGGTGGAGTTTCAGGACACTTGATTTGCTTGCTTGTTTGGGTTTTATTGTACAAAGGGTGGGGTCCACTAGTCCACTGCTTACACAGCAGATGTACCAGGCTTTTTCATGAATTCCCAGCTCGTACCAATTAAGATCAGGGACCAAAGGGAGATGCTGGTTTCCCTTTGACCTCCAAGAGGACACAGGGTGGCATCAAACTCACCCCGAGAGAGGAGAGAGCCTCAGTGAGTGTTAGAACTTCAGGTGACTGCTGATTGAAGGATTTTGGGGTAGGAGACTACATCTCAGATGGCATTTCTCCCTGAGGATGCTGTTTCCAGTTTCTGAAGACATTGTTGTTGTTGTCAGGTGCCATCAAGTCGGAACCGACTCATAGCGACCCCATGCACAGCAGAACGAAACACTGCCCGATCCTGGGCCAACCTCACTACCGCCGCCACACTTGACGCCATCAATGATGCCACCTGGCTGATCCATCTTGTTGGGGGTCTTCCTCTTTTTCTCTGACCCTCCACCTTACCCAGCATGACATCCTTCTCCAGTGACTGTTTCCTCCTGACAATGTGTCCAAAGTATGAAAGACGAAGCCTAGCCATCTTGGCCTCCAAGGAGCACTCTGGCTGCACTTCTTCCAAAACAGATCTATTGGTTCTTTTGGCTGTCCATGGCACTTTAGTATTCTCCTCCAACACCACAATTCAAAGGCATCAATTCTTCTACGATCTTCCTTATTCACTGTCCAGCTTTCGCATCCATATGAGGTTATTGAAAACACCATGGCTTGGGTCAGGCGATATAGGGGGATGAAAATTGTACATTAGTGACAAACATTCTTAACAGAAGTGCTAGTGTGAGGAAATGGTAAAGCACACAGTTGCCCCTTTTAATTGAAGAGTACAGCTCAACAACAAATTATAAGCTGCCTCGCACAGATGCTTTGGAAATGGGAGTTGATGATGGAAGGGCTTATCTCTTGAATTCTTATTTTCCAGTTGGCCTTCCTTACTCTTTTTCAGCCTTCTTTAGTTTTGTTGTATCTTGCTTCTGTGTATGTGTTTGCTTGCTTATGCGTGGTAGTATATTCTTGTTGGTATAAGATAGGCTCCCTGGTAGCACACTGAGGTAAGCACTCGGATGCTAACAGTGGCTCAGAGCCCCTAGCTGCTATGCAGGAGGAAGTTAAGGCAGTCTGCTTCCCTAAAGATTTCAGCCTTGGAAACCATCCAGGGCAATTCTGCTCTGTCTTGTCAGGTTGTTGTCAGCCGGAATCGATTCGATGGCCCTGGTGGCACAGTGGTTCAGTGCTTGGCTACTAACCATTAGGTCAGCAGTTCACATCCACCAGCCCCTTTGCAGAAGTTCGATGAGGCCGTCTGCTTCCGTAAGGGTGTTCAGCTTTGGACGCCTAGCGGAGCAGCTCTTCTCTGTGCTACGGGGTCACTGTGAGTTGGAATCGAGTCGACAGCAGTGTGTGTCTATGTGTGGGTTCGCACCCCTGTGCATACAACACTAGCTGTTGGGCTGGTAGGAAGAGGCAGTTAGGATTCCAACACTTTCTCAGCTGGGAGCTTAAAGCCCAGTGTTCTGCCACCATGTTTACTCAGCCCTTTTGTTGTCCTGTCGTCTCTGGACAGCCGAATAGCACACAGGACTTCTCCTGTCATTGTAAGAAGGAGTCTGGGTTTGTGTAGTGTGGCTTCTGATGCATATGAAACCCCAAACATCAAACTCACTGATCGTGATCATGGAGGACGGAGTAGAACTGTCCCATGGGCTGGCCACGGCTGGCATCTCCACCAAAGCAGACTCCCACATATTTCTCCCCAGGTGGGTTCAAAACACCCACCATTCCATTACCAGCCAAGTGCTTTAACCAGGGATCCTTGAAAAGACCCCCAAACCCACTGCCATCGACTCGCTTTGAATTCCTAGCCACCCGGTAGGGACCCTCTAGGGCAGACTAGAACTGTCCCATAGGGGTCCCAAGGCTGAAACCTTTGTGGGAGTAGACAGTGGGAGGTGAAAGCCCACAATGACTTGCCATTTCTTTCAAACACTGACAAGACCTCAGTCCTGCCTGGTCACTCCAGCACTGCCTTTTCCTGCTGACGATACGAAGTCGCTGGCCACAGTCCTCTGTCCCTCAAGGCGGCCTGTCCAACCTCAGTGTCCACAGGTACAAATGTCCATCTTCCACTTGCTCGTCTTCCTGAATATAGACAAGGGTAAGTCAGAAAGTGGTACTCCAAAATCATAGAAAGAGTTATTAAACAAAAATATCAAAATGTGGAGAAGCTATTGTTTCTCCACATAACCTCCACCCAGCTCTGTGCACCTCTGTTTCCACCTCTCCAACCCTCCACCAAGGCATTCTTCGCTCTTTGATCTACACCATGTCAAATGGGAGTTTTGGCATATTGGAAAAATGCAGATTGTATTCCTTTTCAGTGTTCTTTGGGTTTGGGGAACAAAATGAAGTCTGAAGAGACACAATCAGGGCTGTAGGATGGATGGGGTGAGGTTTCCCTCAGAAATTCTTGTGCAACAGTCCTTGCTGTTTTTAAAGAATAAGCAAATGCATTGTTGTGATGGAAAAAAAAAAAAATTCTCAGCACAACTTTCATGGCCTTTTCCTCATCAATATAGTTTTCAATTTTCTTAAAACTCCATCATAAACCCCCATGATCATCCTGTGTTCCTTCTGAAAATCCATCAAGATTCCTTTGGAATTCCCCTAAACAGACACCATAACCTTCTGAGCTGACCTCTCCTGTGAGTTTCACTAGCTCAGCAGAAACAAACACCAAGTCCCTGTTTTGATTGGACTTGGTGAGGTCCCGGGTCAAAGAAAAGACAGAGACCTTCAATGAGATGAATTGACACCGTGGCTACAAAAATGGGCTCAAACATACTTGTGAGAGTGGCGTAGAACTGAGTGGTTTCTTTCTGTTGTGCGGTGGGGTCACTGTGCGTCGGTACAGACTCGATGGTACCTAACAGGAAGTAAAAAAATGATTGCTGCAAAATCACAGAGACCTTTTATTAAACAAAACATCATCGTATAAAGCTACTGATTCTTGATCTGCCCTTCATCCACATCTAGGTCTATACATTTCTAAAGGTGGTTCCTTCTCACTAATCCTCCCCAAAGAATGCTACACTCTGATTTACCCCACATCAAAAAACAGCAGTTTTGGTATGGACTCAAATTCCTTGAGTTTGAGGAATAAAAACAAGCCGGAAAGGGCAAGATAAGGATTCTAGGGTGGATGGGTTAAGATTTCTCAAAAAACAATTCTCGCCGGACATCCCTTGCTGCCCTCGGAGAATGAACTGGTGCACTGTGAAAGAGAAAATTACTCGTAACTCTCCCAGCCTTTTCCTCACCAATATAGTCTTCAGTTTTCTTAAAATGTCATCAAAATAAGCCCCTGTGATCATCCTCTGTCCTTTGAGAAAGTCTGTCAAGATGACCCCTGTAGAATCCCCCCAATCACCAGAACCTTCTGAGCTGACCTCTCTGCCTTGAATGTAACTGGTCCAGCTGACCCCCTGGGAAGCCGCTGTTTTGATTGGTCCTTGTTCTGAAGGCGTCCTGAAGAGACAAAGACAAGTGCATCTCACTGAGAGAACTTGTCTGCGGCCATCCACTGACCGCAGAGAGATGTTTAAACACGTTGTTTGGAACCAAGCTGTGAATGTATGAGCCAGAACCCTGGTACCAATACTTGTTGACTTATACAGTGATGGTGTACCACTGTGTCGGTCCCCACTCGTAGCGACCCTGTATAGGGTTTCCAATGCTGTA